ACAAGCTAAGGGAGGATACATACCAATAGGACTGAAGGTCCCGAAGGACCCCTTTCTCCCAGACGTGACCAGGCCAAGGGGCTCTGTGCAGAGCAGGCCCAGACAGCCCAAGACAAAGTATGAGTGGCTGGAGAGGGAGACCAGAGGTCCAGGCCCCCCTGTCGCACCCTCCACAGCACCCCTCTCTAGCAGAGGCCATCGCAAGCTCCCTCTCAGGCCACAGGAACCCACCCCAGGGTCCTCTGAGTGGAGTCCAGCTTGGCCCTGGTTCATGGTCTACTGCTCCTTCCCACCCTCACCCACACACTCCAGCAGCAGCCAGTCCCGGCTAGCTGAGGAGGGAAGAAACAATATCATTCTGACTAGCTGAGGGAGGATACATACCAATAGGACTAAGGTCCCGAAGGACCCCTTTCTCCCAGATGTGACCAGGACAAGGGGCTGTGTGCAGAGCAGGCCCAGACAGCCCAAGACAATGAATGAGTGGCTGGAGAGGGAGACCAGAGGTCCAGGCCCCCCTGTCGCACCCTCCCACAGCACCCCTCTCTAGCAGAGGCCATCGCAAGCTCCCTCTCAGGCCACAGGATCCCACCCCAGGGTCCTCTGAGTGGAGTCCAGCTTTGCCCTGGTTCATGGTCTGCTCCTCCTTCCCACACTCACCCACACACTCCAGCAGCAGCCAGTCCCGGCCAGCTGAGGAGGGAAGAAACAATATCAGTGCCCCACATCCTTGGGCCAAACAGGCAGCCCACAGGGCACCTTGAAGGAATGTATTCACCTGGCAGCTTTTCAGCGACCACCTCCAAGGGCTGAGTCAGCCAACCTCAGGGCTGGCTCAGGTCCAGGAGAACAGAGTATAAGGGCTGACATCACCACTGGCCAGGTGCCCCGAGAGCTCGTCCCTAGCTGGGGGCTCGGCCTGCTTCCCTGGCCTGGACCTGAAGCCCAGGTGGGCCTTGGCTGCAGCCCTCGCCTCCCCAGGCCTTGCGTCTCCCTTGCAGCTTCTGCCTGAAGCCACAACATGGGGAAAGAGGTGGAGTCTGGGAATCTAAGCTACTGAAAGGAAAGCTCTGGCCCCATCAGAAGGGGCCGTGGTGACTTTAAGTGCCCGCCTCCTTGGCAAAGCCCCACTTCCTCCCTGCTTTTCAGAGACGCCTGGAGCCAACACTCCAGAGAGAAGTGGTGTGCTTTGCTGCTATTTTTATCTGTGGCTGCGGGGCTCTCAGGATTGCTTATTTGTTTGGCTTCCCCTCTGAAATGGGTTCTGTGAATCACTCTGGAGACCCACTCAGAACATTCCTTTCCTTTTGCCCCCCTTACCCCGACGCTTCTAGCTGAGCTCCACCTATGGGAAGATCGGTGTGAAGGTCTTCTTGGTGAACATTCATGGTAAGAGAAGACATTTAGGAGGTTGAAAGACTGGCGAGGGGGTGAGGTGGGAACAGGTTGGAGGGATGCTGAACAAGGAAGGGGGTGGAAATGCGAGCACCCATGTAGTCCCCCAAACTACTGCCTGCTCATGAGAGCTTCAGACACAAGTCAGAGGGGACGGTGGCCAGACTGTGTAAACATCCCAGGGATCTCAATAGCAGAGTGGGAGATCGTGGAGTTAAGAAAAGATAACTAGGGTTCTAATTTCCCCATCACTACT